TGACATCAGGGGTTCAACCGTAATTTTACGAAGCTATGCAAATACTTTTTGTGCGCAAAAAAAAAAAAAACGACTTTTTTAGTTTGCACTTTGATCTGAACGTAAACAGCGTATCCGCGTGGCACAGCTGACACAGAATAGCATACGTTGTCAACACCGCTGTGTTGCTTGGAGACACAAAACAGTTCTGCTGTGGCTTTGATTGGAGCTATTTTCATCAGCAAAATTGAGCAAAAACAGTCAATATTGTGTCTAAAATGTAAGTCACTTAATTTTAACTTCTTGTTTATTGAACTACAATGGTATAAAATCACATTGCAATCGTGTTGAAACATTTTGGTCGTGCAATGTTGCGTACCTAAATCATATTATACATTTCTTTTATTTCCAACCGAAGTATGCATCTATAACTTTTGTGAGTGCTGTTGCACTCATTTGTTTTGATTTATGCAGGAGTCTCTCTCACACACTCACTCAGGCTGCGCAAGCCTCATCTGGCATGACATAAATACATTATCAGTCGCCGTAAGTGTGACGTCAGAACAGACCGGCTCGGAATCGGCAGACTGACCGGCCGGTCACCGGTCCGGGCCGATCATGTGGAAAACCGGCTAATTCCAGTCCCTAGCCGGTCGATCGGTGCATCTGTAGTATCTCAGTACCCTTGTGAAATGTGGGAGTGTAGAAAACAGCCACTATAGCACAGACCTACAACACACTCCTTACACAGACATATTAAAGAACTGATTTTATTAAGTTATGGCCTTCTGGAGCGAGGAATATATTATTTCTTTCTGTCTGTCCTCTCTGACATTCAGTCACTCAAACTGTTTGATTCCTCTGATTTATCTTTCTGATCTTCCATCTATTTGCACATTGTTTTGCCCTGTGATGTCAGTGTGAGTGTGTTTGTGGTTTTATTTTCCATCGATTGTGTCTCATTGTCTCAGTGAATGATAGAAGGTCTTAGTGGAGCACCTCTGCTCTCTCTTCCTCTGTTCACTGCTTTCTTATTAGCAGCAGGGTTTCCACAACCCATGCCCTTTTGCCTCCTGGAGTCTGATTGATTTAGCTTATTCCCAGCATTGATTTCCATCCTCTAAACAAAAAGCAAGCCCCCTTCAGAGCTCATTAGTTCACTATTAGTCCTGCAGCATTTAGATGAAACAAGTAGTGAGAGAGCAACAGTCACAACAACAGGATTTTAAAGGGTGTTTATTATGGCTTTTTCCCCATCGTTTTATTTTTCCCCCTAAAGTCCAGTTGTAGTCAAGTTTTTACACCAAACTTAACAATTTTGTTTTTCATGACTGTTTACCACTGTTTTTGGGATATACAAAGTCCTCACGTTATGCATAGTATGGTGTGCCATTTTATCATGTGTTTTCTCCATTGCCCCAAATAAAAGGTGGTGGAAGAATTGTTTGTTTTTCTGTATGTGTCTTACATATACTAAGGTGTGTGCAGGAACACAAAGATGATGAATAAGTTTCAACTTTATTGAAAAAAGGACAAACCTCACCAAATTCAGCTACTGCGTTAATGAGAACTGACCTCTTAGAGAAGAAACGTAGACATATAAACACTAGAGCAAACAAAGAGAACTAATTAAGCAAAAGCTGAAAGAAAGGACTAATCAAATGAGTAACCATAGAAATGAAACCGTAAACAGAAACTAAAAACAGAACATAACTGTGATATTACGCCCCCTTGAGAAGGCTTGATGTGGAGAAGGAGGTGGTTTGGGCAAGAGGGTCTAGCTGCAGCCTTGCACTTGCACTCTCAGACTTGCACTCTCAGACACTTGCGCTTCCGCTAGCGACGTCACTTGCAGTGCCTGCAAGTGACGTCGTTAGCGGAAGTGCAAGTGTCTGAGAATGCAAGTCTGAGAATGCAAGTCTGAGAGTGCAAGTGCGAGGCTGCAGCCAGACCCTTCTCGGTTTGGGAGGTGGACAAGGAGTGCGCGAAGAGCTGGATAATGGCAGGCAGACGAACGACAGACAAGAGGTGAGCAATGATGGTGGGAGTGGCCAGCTAGGAGTAGGATCCGGGAGACCGGGATGGAGCCACAGCGATGAGCAGCCAAGGTGGAACGCGGGTGCCAGATGACTGTGGCGACGATAGTACGAGTGAGAACAGAGGTATAGTTGGAGGGAAGGAATAGCCCGACAGAGCTGACCTGGAAGCCCATGGCGAAGACTTGGAAGCCCATGGCGATGGCAGAGTGACGACTGACCAAAGTGAACCCGCTACGATGGAGTCTGGAGGAGCCGAAAGGACGACGGTCACAGGTGGAGTGATGGGCTCGGAGGATCGAGGTGGAGCCCATGGGTCAACTCTCCAGGGCGGAGCTGGGGACCAGAAGCCCCTCCGTGGATCAGGGCTGCTTGGCCAGTTGATGGTGGACCTGAGGGGCTGAAGGGAGACGAGGGAATTGCTGTCTCTAGTGTGGTCGTGCAGGATTTTTGTGACTATATTTGATATTGTTGCTTCATATTTTGCCTTTATTTTTTACACTGTAAATATTTGTATATATTATGAGTAGACGTGCTGGTATTCGGTAATGCGATATATCACGGTAATGAATATGCACGATATTGTTATCGTGGGCACTTCAAAATACCATTTTAAGAATATTTTTCCCATCAACTGGACACAATGCACAACACCGCTGTATGCTGTGTGAAAAACGCATGCGCACTCTCAAGTAAACAAACACGGATAGTGCAACGTGTGAAAGAGGCTGAATGGCTGAATGAAAGCACACATTCACTCTCTGACAGCAGATGGCGCTAAACAACAGAAATGCAGTGTTACCCCGGAAACCCCGTAAACAAAGCAGCTGCACTACTTTCTAAAACGTATTTAAATGGTTTAAATAGGCATTCAGATTTTTGTATTCGCTATGGTGTTCATCACAGTGGCATGTACTTAAATATGCCATTTATTTTCAAAATAGGCTATTTATTTTCAAACTTTTTACATTTTAATCTGGATTACAACATGCCCTAGATATTGTTTGAAAATGTTTTGATTTTCAATTTGACTTTTTTAATGAAGTAATTTGTAACTGTAATGGAATACATTTTAAAAATAACCCTCCCAACCCTGAAAGTGATTAAGTGTTCAAAATACTCATTGCTACAAATATCGGAACAAAAAACAATCTGTAATGTTCTCTTTAGGCTGCATTCAACAACATCTTTATAATCAAATATAATAAACTGTACAGTCATGGTCAGAATTATTGGCATCCTTGGTCAGTATCATCAAAGAAAGCTGTGAAAATAAATCTGTATTGTTTATCCTTATGATCTTTAATTAAACAAAAATCTAACCTTTCAACAAGTAAAACAAATGAAAGTGGGAGAAAAAAAATCACATTATGAAATAAATGTTGTTGTTTTTCTACTACATTTTGGCCACAATTATCAGCACCCCTAGAAATTATTATGAGTGAAATATCTCTGTAGTATATTCCCATTCATATTTACAATGTTTAGCATACCAGAGTGACTACGAAAATGAAATTGTCTAGCCGTGACTTCCTGTTTCACAGGACTATAAATATGAGGCAACACAAAGGCTAAATTCCCTTAAAGGGGTCATATGATGCGATTTCAATTTTTCCTTTCTCTTTGGAGTGTCACAAGCTCTTGGTGCATAAAGAAGATCTGTAAAGTTGCAAAGACAAAATCTCAAATCCAAAGAGATATTCTTTATAAAAGTTAAGAGTCAACCACGCCTACCTAAAACGGCTCGTTCTAACACACCCCCACATACCTACGTCACGATCTGGGAAAATTTGCATAACGCCGCCCAAATGTTCACGCAAAAAAAGAAGGCGTAACTTTTATTCTCGCAGTAGTATTGTTGC